GGAAAGTGGGAACAACTCCCGTACACCCACGGTCCTGGAGGCATAGCCTTCATGCTACGGAAGGATAGTTCTCTTCCAAGTATGATCTTGATAATGATCTCGACGAGGAGTAACAAATTGTAAGCTACGTCAGGAGATATTTTAGGGCCAAAGGCTTCAGTGGTACCGGCGCCGCCATTAGTGATTCGTCCCCGGAAGATTCTTTTTCGGAAGATTCTTCAACTGAAGAGTTACATAGCACATCAGTGGCATCTCCCGAGTTCCCTCATGGCACACCAGCAGAGCTTCAAGGTCATATTAAAGACCTCAATGTGCGTAAAGTGCTTGAATAATCTCGTGGCTATTATCAATCCCATGCTAAGGACCCAGTACTTTCCATCGGCGTGGAAGACTACTGAAGTTATAATGAATCCAAAGAAGGTGGGTTTGATATTTCCATAGGACTATCGTTCCATTAGACTACTGTCTGCTCCATCTAAGCTCGCTGAAAAGATGATTCTAAGTCACATTGCGAATTTTTCGTCAGATCACTATGTAATTCCTGACGTGCAATTTGGATTTCAGTTCGAGCATAGTACGCAGTTACAGGCGGTTAGGCTTGTGGAGCGAGTAACCAGGGGCTTCACCCTTAACGAAAGTACTGGCACCTGGCTTCTGGATGTCTCGAAGGCTTTTGACAAGATGTGGCACAAGGGCCCTCTCTATACACTAGTTCAAAAAGGGATTTCGTTTTTGGCTCGGAAAACTTTTGAAATCCTTCCTTGACGGTGGGAAATTTCGAATCAAAATTAATAATGTCTTGTCGGCAGTACGGCCTATCAGAGCCGGCGACCCTCAGGGTTCGGTTCTAGGGCCAATTCCTGACTCACTTTTCACGCATGTTGTCCCTTGCCCTAGCGACTGTGAGGTATATCTATATGCTGATATGACACTGTACTGGTGGCCCAGTCGTGTTTCGGAAACCTGATTCACGACAGGATACAAACCGCGTTGGATGAGGCATTGGAATGGTCAGATCGGTGGCTAATTAAAATGAATTACTCGAAAATGCAGGCTATCTATTGTACTGAAAAACGTAGCGGCGCCCCGTCTGAGGTTTCAGTGGATGGAGTTCGCATACCGTGGAGGAATTCTGCTAAATTCCAAATTACATTTCAACAACTCTAGCCCATGCTTTGTAGAACCTCAAAATTGAGTTTGGTCGACAAAGTTCGGCTATACAAGATGGCTATCAGACCAGCAATCGCTTAGGCATGTGCAACATGGTGCTTTCTCGCCAAAGCGCATTTGCATAATCTGCAGGTTTTGCAGAACACAAAATTGCGAGCCATCACTAACGCACCATGGTATGGCTCTACGAGACCCTTCACGGAGACCTCGACAGCCCTTACCTAAGGGACTACATCAAACAATAGGCGCAGTTACGTTACAGTCAAGCGGAATCGTACAGCAACCGTATGTTGCGTGAGTCAGTTGACTACGCAGTCGAGCAAGTTCGCAAGCATACAAGACCGCGACTCGCACTGTGAACAAAATCAAATCGTGCAATTTTAGGTCCAGCCAAAATTTATCATTTATTCCAGACACACAATTTTTGGATCAATTTAAAATAACCGAACTCGAGTTACCAATAGCAAGGCACCTCTTTAACTGACGCACTTCATCCTCTTTACACTTCTCCCTTACTTATTTTCTTTCTTTTTTCTTGCTTCCTTTCTCCCTGACTTCGTCTGATGTCTGGGTAACCAGACCTGACAGACCTACTGACCTGCGATACCTTAAGAAAGAGCGAAGGTCCCAGAGACCGCTCTGACGAACAATGGCGAATAAAAAAAGATCGGATGCAGCCCATAATGTCAAAAAAATCGGTAAAATGTCAACTTGTGCATTAGGTAGCCGCGAGTGAGCCGCTAGTTTATTCCGCGTATATTAAAAGTGAACATTAAGTAAACGTCAGCTAGTTCAAAGGTGACATTTTATAGGAGAACCCACATAATGTCAAAAAAGAACAGCACAACATCATAGAAATCGATATACTGTCACTTTAAGTTACGTACTATGAGCGCCGGACTGGTTAAATTTATCGTAAGATTTTGACGTGTGGGAAAGCACTCTAGCACGTGGTTTGTGTAAAGGTGCACCAAAACAAACAGCAGTTGGATTTAGCGAATTTTGTTCCTTATTTAAATAGCATATTGTGTATTTATCAGGTGGTTGTGTTACTAAATGGATTCAGCGTTTTTTGGACTTCACTCACCTATGGAATTATGGAATTATGAAACCAACCCGAGAAATAAACAAAGGTTTTGAAGCAGGTGTTTAAGGATAAAAATAAACAACAAACTTAGACTTTCTGCGATCAGTTGGCAACACTAACTAAATTTGTGTGAAAAATAGACTCAGGGAGCTCTGATTAGGCGATTCATTTATCTCTGATCTATATTTTGTCTTCAACGCAGTCACCGCAGAAATTTCGGTTACGCAGAGGTAGGATGTTGAAAACGGTAACAGTGTACGGAGTACTTCTTTTGTACTTCCACATTTTTTCAGTTCCGAAAATCTAATTCTGCCCAAAAATCGAAGAAGCAGTGACTCATCATAAAATTGGCTTTTGATTATTCCACTTGTGATTCAAAATTCACTCTTTGAGCTATACAGGCTTCAAAAGTTTTAAGCAATATACGTTTTCATCGTAATAATATGGAATATGCACCATACCTGATGAGTATGCTATGCTGATATATTTTGGAATACATACATCCTCGGCACAAAATTTATCTACATGCTACATGATAGACGTAGTTGTGATTAGGGATGCACCGAGTACTACTTTTTCAAAAGGGCCAGTACCATGTACTCGGTGAGTGGTTAGTGATGACTTATTTCAGTTAGTATCACCAATATTGAGATTACATTTAAGTTTTCTAATGGTACCACTATTATCAAAATTGATTAATGTTTTCAAGCAGTTGAGGCACCGCGAAAGGAGCAGTTATGCACTTGGTCGATTTTTTGTAAGTGAAACGATATAGGTTTGCCGAGTACCGGGTACAAACCGAGTATTTGGAACATCCCTAGTTGTGATGATGTCGTATGCATAGCGTCAACAAACAGACTGACGGCCTGACAGTTGGCGGAAATGCTTGGATTATCAGTAGTTCTCTCACTTAGCAGAGGTAAAGCGTATGTCAAACAGTATATACGAGCCCCTTCCCACTTCAGTTGGCTCACTTCAAGATTTGTACCAAAATATGCCTTTATAAACTAAACATGACGAAACTATTCACTTCTAAAACTATTTATTTTCTCAAAAACATTTTAGATACACTCCAGTTGTAAAAAATGCATATTTTACTTAGACCTATAACTAATAGAACATCTCAACAAATAAACAATGTGCGAATAAATGCGCAAAGTTAACAAAGAACAATTGAAAGATTACCATTGGATAACATCACCTTTATTTTTTATTACGGCTGAAATTCTTTGGGGCATAGTGTAAACCAAGTTTTGGCAAACATTTAATGTAAAACAATCCCATCTTTCTTGAAGCTTTTGTCTCAGTTCGGTGATTGTATGAGCAGGATGTTGTCGTAGAACCTTTTTCATCTCGTGCCACAAAGTTTCAATAGGTGACAGATCTGGACTGCTAGAAACCCATTTCAAAAGTGGTACATTATTTTCTTCCATCCATTTCATAGCCTTTTTTGAGGTATGGCACGCTGCACCATCTTGCTGAAACACAAAATCTTGGCCGGATGTCAAACATTCTTCCATCACTGGTAAAAGCGATTCTTCTAAAATTGCCAAATATTTGTTTGTGTCCACATTTCCATCAATAAAATGAAGTTTTCCTACTCCTTTTGATGACATACTCCCCCAAATCATAATGGATGCTGGAAATTTCACTTTTATCTTCAGACAGTCAACATGGAATGCTTAATTTGGTTGCGAATAACTCTACTGCGACTGTCACCAACACAAACTTCGAATCGGGCCTCATCACTCCATTGTATTGCACACCATAGTTGATGTGTCCATTGTCTATGTTCTTTAGCCCATCTAAGCCGATTTTTCTTTTGCAGTGGAGTCAATAGTGGCTTTTCTTTGGCCTATAAACAAGTTGTGCAATTTTAGGGTTTTTACTTCACCTTTTTATAAGAAAACTTACCTTGCAAGTGCTAAATCCCAGTTTGTGGGCCTCTCTATGAGTTGTGGACATCGAAATTCTCCTTCCAACAGCTTCACTCCACAGAGCACTTAATTGTAAATAATTGGCACGCCTGTTTTTCACGATTATTCCTTTTAATGCTCTTCGGTCGGCATTTGTGATATTACTTTTTTCACATATCGTGGCTTAATATTAACTGAACCAGTTACGTTATATCTTCTAACAATATTTCCGACACTGTACGGCGATAAGTCTAACAAAGTTGCAGTTTCTGAGTTTGTTTTCCCAAAATTAAAAGATTTCATTATCAGTAACCGAATTTTCTCACTAATAACCTTTCCTTTACCCATTTTGAAAACCTTAACTACCCAAAACTATTTTAAACGTGTTCTGACAGCTGTGATTAATAAAAAAAAATTGTCATAGCTTTTATTTTTCACAGCCATCTATGCGTTATAGACTTATTTTGCATTGAAATGAAAATGTGTTACATGTGTTATTTTTATGCTGCAAATTTGATTAGGGAGTGATAAAGTTGGTGTTTTCTACTATATATTATCAAAATATTCATTGTTAATATTTTAAACCTATAACACCCTGCTACATTTTTATTGTGTTTGATAAGAAAAAAACTAAGATTTCAATAGTTGGGCCAACTGAAGTGGGAAGGGGCTCGTATTCCAAAATACTATGCTATGACCTGACACGAATTTTCCATTAGAAAGAAGGCATTGCTGTTTAGTGTTCTCTAAGCGACCACTTAACAAAGGTATGCCATACCAAACAACGTGACTGACCTATAGGTTTTAATGGTTGTAATAAAAAAAAGTTCATTACATACTCTTTTATTCACAATTCTTATAATTAAAAATATTAGGCTGTCGATATTCAGCGTCCATAACCACCATATCCATAGCCCCCATATCCATAGCCCCCGTATCCGTATCCTCCTGCTCCAGCACCTCCTGCACCACCTCCATATCCTCCTCCATATCCTCCATGGACTGGTGCTACATGGTGAACCGGAGCGACGTGGACAGATGCTACAACTGGTGCAACGATCGGAACTGCGTGATCCACCCTGTAAAGTAAAAATTATTGTACTTTCGGCGTTCAAGTTTCCCTAAGCTAGGTATGGGTAGAATCAATTCCCGCCCTGCAAAGTCAATATTAACTGTATGCACATCCAAATGTTACGAAATAATTTAGAGGATACCATGAATAGCCCAGAATCTGCTTGCGTAAAATTGTATGCCGTCTTCAGAAAAAAATTATGTGCTCCAACATTTTTGTCCATTAGACATTCGAAAATCAGATTTTGCCAACCAAGTGGATGATGGATGGATTTTCTTTTATTTAAAATTGTTGATACACTGCAATTTGCGTAAGCTGAAAGTACACTAACGCGTATCGACTCAATCTAGCCGATCCTGTTTTTTAAACTTCATCAGATTCGGTAAGAATTCTGTCGTACAGCTTAGAGTGTTCTAACGTGTACCTTATTCATCATTTAAGCTTTTTATTTTTACTATTCAAACCGAGAATTATCATTTGGGGAAATTAAATGCTTCCTAGTATAATGATTGGATTTTCAGCTTGATTCGTCAACTGAATGCAGAAGCTGGGTCCATAATGCGTTAAGGATCCACGATTTCTTATACACTCATCGACACCCAGGCGTGTCAATGGTTGCTGATCGATATCCTGTTGGGGTATCTCATTCCAGGCTACTGCAACTTGCCTGAGTAAGAGCTGCTAAAGTTTGTGGAGGGCATTGCAAATTCAAGGACCTGGGATCTATCATGTCCCAGACATGTTCAATTGGAGGTAGGTCAGGCGATGGTGGTGGCCAAGGTAAACGGTTGATGCGATGTTAATCCATGAAAGCTAACGATGCTCTGGCAATACGCGGCCTGGCATTGTCTTTCTGAAAAATCGGGTTTTGGGTGGTGTTTGTGTAAGGAATAGGATAAGGCTCCACTACTTTCTGAATATAGCGTCGGGCTGTCATATTGCCTCTGATGAAAATTAGTGGTGATCTGCTACCATAAGCAACAGCACCCCATACCATAACTCACACGGTGTGGTGAACGTGATGCTCTCTGTCGAATTGTTAATCACGTCTTTCACCACGTCACCTTCTCACTCTTACCCGACCATCGTGCATCCCCAGACAGAAGAGGGATTCGTCACTAAAGACCACCTGAGTCCATTGCCGATCCCATAGAATCATTTCTATATACCAGAGCAAACGGTTACGCCGATGTATAACTGTGGGCGATAAAAGAAAAGCCAAACTATCGTATTCGGCGATTCGAATACAAACCATCCTTCCTTGCCTTTCAAACCACTCTCAAAGTCACTTAGCTGGGACACCAGGCAAATTCTGCGCACTCTAGGCATTTTGAGCAAACACAAAAAGGCTTCCCAATAAGCTACACGAAATTTAACATTTAACGGACACCGTAAATATACGAAAACTGAATGCTTCTTTATCACCAAACAATACACGCAGCCACCACAAAAACTTAACAGAAAAACCTGACCATTTTATCACTTGTTGTCCAATTCTTGAATCATTATAAACATAAAATATGTGGGTATTTACCTTTTTTTGTCAATCCGTATATTAACTGTAATGTAGAGACTATAAACGCGAATATATCATTGAAGGTTTTTTCATCCGTTCGCCCTTATATCAACATTGTCCAACCCTAGTCAACTACGCTAACAGTTTTCGGTGATTTTTGGCAAGCTGTATTGGTGAAACACGATCGAATCTGGATGTAAAGAAACGCACTTGGAAGCTTTGAGATTCTAGTTTTCAAGTTTTTTAGCCGAAAAATTTTAGGAGCAACGGTCCTCATGCAGTTCTAACAGACAGCGCCAGACAACATTTTTGGCAAAACTTTTTGGTCCTTCTTTTTAGTCCACGGGCTTAAGCATTTTTTCCGTTAAGGCTGCTACACACAGTGCCGTTGGGCAAGCCGCCGGCTACGCTGCCGTACACCCGGCGGCATACAAAGCCGCCGGCCTTGCCGCGCAAAAGAGCCGCCCTGGTGTGCCGGCGGGTTACGCGGCTTGCCGGCGTCACTTCGTTCCTGGCATTCGAGCGGTAGTGTTGTGCGATTTGTGTGTTTAAACAAATTAAAATGTCGTTTAATTGGGACGACGAAGCTGTGCTGCTCTTAATTGAAAAATTTTATGAAAATGATATATTATCGAATCCCAGAAGTCCAGCACTTCACTAGCTTTCTATGTGACTGTCACAACCGGAATGATGCTTGACAGATTTACGCGGCTTGTGCCGCCGGCACTGTGTGTATCAGCTTTTAGGCATACAGATCATATAGCATGTTTATTTAGCTTCAGTAGTTTGTTTTTAAAGTATCTATGCGGTCATTTGGCTCATAGATATCTGACTCTGAATGATAAGGATCCTTTTGTTATCGACCACTATCTCAGTAACAAGTGATCCCACAGAGAATGTAAGGGTGCTTGGAAAATCGACCTCATTTTTGGGACTACCACTGAGAAGGCTAACGTTTTTAGGTTTTTTGTACCTCGATGTATGCCTAATAATACTGCATGAGGGCATATGGATCCATTGTACGACTTCTCTGGACCGAAACATTTCTAAATCCGGCTTTGTAACCGCCTCAAAATATATTTCCTAGATCCGCCTCTGGTCAGTATTCTTGTTTCTTAGAATATTCCATGAATTAAAAAATACTATTTTTTCAATTGCTTTTTTGAAATTGAAGGTGCTACAAATATCCAATAGCGACAACAAGTGAAGAAAAATGACTTTTCCATTTTCAGCCAGATTTTGATATAAACATTTTACTCCTTTGACTTGTTTCAAATTTTGACCGTACAGTGGATCCATCTACTGTCGTGCAGGGTTATTAGGGTACTATAAAAAACCTAAAATATTGGCCTTCTCATTAGCAGTTTCAAAATGCGGTTGATTTTCCAAAACAAGGCATAAAGCTACTTTTCTCTACTTTTCCAAACTCAACACAGCAAAAACAGGATATTCTAGCTGAGTAAACGGACTACCTGATTTATATGATGCCTTATCAGGAAAAAATGTCATTCCCGTGGACTAAAAAAAAGAAGGCAATTGTTTTGCAAAAATTTTTTCTTGCGTTATTAGAACTGCATGAGAACCGTTGCTCCTATAATTTTTAGGCTAAAAAACCTGGCAATTGAAGGTTCAAAATGCTTTTTTTCAGAGTCTAGATACGAGCATTTTCCACCGATATACGGCCCGACAAATATCACCGAAAATTTTAAATTTTTTCTTGCTCCTTCAATTTTTTTAGTGTATATATTTGGCTATAGTATATTTATGAGACACTCACCTTTTTCAAAATGTATTTCTAATTAGTGCGGAGAGGGGAAACAGCGGCGATAAATTTTCATTGCCATCTCATGTCATCCCGAATAATTTTTTGGACTCGGTAATGTAGTATCAAGTTGGCTATCTTCATGTAGAATAAATAATACCGTTAATCAATGTCATAACATAATGTACAGGAAAGGGTAAGAATATGCCAGCATTCACCATTTTTTTATGTTTTTAGCGAGAGCTTTCACCAATTTTTCAAAACTGAAGGCATGAAAAATAAGGATTCTATCTAATCCAAGTGAATATACAGCAGCTTCTTGAATGTGCTTGAACTCCAATATTATGGGGAAAATCATGAATTTGAACATTAGAACTGTTATAAGGAAAATTGGGATAATGATCTAATTCTCTGATTTGACAGTTTTGTAAGATCGTTTGAACATTTTCCACAACAACCAAAATATATAATATCCGACTATTATTGCACATATTACCTAGACTGACTGCTAACTCCATGGTTGGTTCTGGTGACGGCCGCTACAGGGACCTCAACACTATGAACTGAAGTGTGGACAACAGGTGCTACATGTGCTACATGACCAGCAAAAGAAACGGCTATAAGGCAACTCAGAACTGTGTACTTCAGCATCTTGCCAATTTTGACTACCTTCGATCGCTGCTACTAAAGAGACAATCTATATGATAACGTATTAAGAACAACTAGCTGTTTTTATATAATATCCGGTAAATTTGATCTATTATACCCGGATACTTTGCAGCACTTTATTGCTCCATCGTAGGTATCAGTTAAGCCAGAGAGGTATACAGTTACAAATTATCTAGGTTAAGAGTGAAACCAGACATAATTACCATGTGAGCAAAACTATTCTTCCCTGCTACAGAACTACTTATTTTTCACATACAAGCAGGTACTAATTTTTATCATTTATCTACATATTCTAAGTCGAGTCTTGTACTCAAATTATACTTTTTAGATAGGCAAGATTATTTGTTTTTGCGTTTGATTTCATCTGAAAATGTTTTTTCGGGCTAACAGTTTGAATTTTCCCAGAAAAACGTATTCAAGCTACCACTGTCATCAGACATCTTTATTGCGATGCCCAAAAGTTCCACACATTCCAACATTCATCCATATTAACATGAAGTATTCCGAGCCGGAGCACCTGCACCTGTTGGAATGTTGGTGGAACGCTGCTACTGATAATAAAATGATGGAAGTATCAGCAGTATCAATAATACGGGACCCTCCTCGTATAGGCTCACCATATGGAATAAAAAATGAATGTGTTATCCACAATATCAACCAATTTTTTGGGCGGCACGCCAAACCATGAATTATCAAGCACTAGATCCTTAGATGGCTAGATATTAATAGCATGCTTCCTATTTTTGACTTTATAGATTACAACTGCAACAGAGCATAAGCTTTTCGAAATTAAAAGTGACTGAATTATCTCAGCTCTGCTATACTATTACAATCATGTTTGATACTGTCTTCAGTGGCAGACAATCTTGGACCACCAAAATATTCTTAAACTGTGGATGATCTCTTAGAGCAGGTTTCCATACGAAATAATATCACTGATCAACAGCCAAAATATATCCTAAATAAAATCAACAAAATATTACTATTTTTAATGTGCTAAAACCGGAATGAAACTTATTTTTTCAATACTAGTTCAAGTTTTAGAGATACGGTAATTATATGTGTTCCTGCTGTGACAGTGTTAATATACTGTAATTCACAAGAATGCACGTGCTACATTTTTATATTCGGCAAGGAAAGATGATGTAATCGGCATGATTGTGTTACGTTATACATACGTGTACATTATATTGTTTTATATTAGCCATTTCTTCCTCAGTTGGCTGACAGCGTTCATGCAAGATGTCTCGAAAGTGTGTAAACAATCCAGATCAGTTTTGTTACGTCTGTGGTGATGTGACTTTTGCGTCTCAGAGACGGTCTATTACTCCACTAATAACAAAGGCATATCAGCTTTATTTCGGTTGTAAACTAGGTTATCAAGACAAACAGTGGGCACCCCACATCTGCTGTAATACATGTGCTTCAAGTCTGAGGAGCTGGTTAAATGGCAAAAAACGGTCTATGCGCTTTGCTATCCCAATGGTTTGGGGAGAGCCTACAAATCATATTAATGATTGTTACTTTTGCATGGTACCTTGTGTTGGACAAGCCACAGGTATGTCCAAGAAAAAAAAATCGCTTATTAACGACCCAAACATACCATCTGCGATGAGACCTGTGCCTCACAGTGACGAAAATCCTATTCCAAAACCCCCAGAATCCTACACTTGCGAATCAGAAAACGAATCAGATCATGGCGATCGAGTGATTCGTCAGGAAGAAGATATGCCATCAACGTCAAGAGATCCTGATTTTATACCGAGCACGTCATGCCACCAACCGCACAAAATAACACAGTCAGAATGAAATGATCTTGTAAGAGATTTAGAACTTCCAAAATGTAAGGCAGAGTTACTTGGATCAAGACTGCAGCAGTGGAACTTGTTAGAAGACGATGTTTCGGTATGTGTTTTTCGTAAACGCCACAAAGACATAGAACCATTTTTCAATATGGAGAATAACTTGGTTTTCTGCAGTAACATTAACGGCTTACTGGCGGCTTTAAATATAAACTATAACCCAGAAGAATGGAGATTGTTTATAGATAGTTCAACATTGAGTTTAAAGGCAGTGTTATTGCATATTGGAAATATTTTACCATCTCTTCCTGTAGGGTATGCAGTTCACATGAAAGAATCATATGACAATATGAAGTACCTATTGACATGCATAAATACGATGAGCACCAATGGCATATTTGTGGCGATTTGAAAGTTGTTGCACTTTTACTTGGGCTGCAGCTAGGCTACACAAAGTTTTGCTGTTTTTTTGTGTGAATGGGACAGTCGGGCAAAGGCACTTCATTACACCAGACAAAACTGGCCTGTTCGTCAATTCCTAGAGCCAGGTCAAAAAAATGTACAGCATATGCCATTAGTAGATTCGAAAAAATTTTTATTACCACCACTGCATATCAAGTTGGGGCTAATGAAAAACTTTGTCAAGGCATTAGATAGAGATGGGTCAGCTTTTCAATACCTGCGTCAGAAATTTCCAAGACTAAGTGAGGCACAGGTTAAAGAAGGTATTTTTGTTGGGCCACAGATTCGAAATATTTTGAAAGATACACAGTTTGAAAACACTTTAACAGGTATTGAAAAAACTGTTTGGAATGATTTCCGTCTGGTGGTCACTAATTTCTTGGGAAATAGAAAAGCTGACAACTATAAAACCCTTGTCAAAAATATGCTGTCATCGTATCAAAAGATGGGCTGTAATATGTATCTTAAGATACATTTCTTACACTCACACCTGGACTTTTTTCCTGACAATTGCGGAGCCGTAAGTGATGAGCACGGCGAACGTTTTCATCAGGATATTTCAACAATGGAAAAAAGGTACCAGGGAAAGTGGAATCCTTCCATGCTTGCAGACTACTGTTGGACTCTTGGTAGAGATGCTCCAGAAACGATCCATAAAAGAACAACACAAAGACAGCGCATATAGTGATTCTTATAAGTATATGAATCTTGTTACTTTTTTTAATATATCCTTAAAAATAAAAAGTTTTTTTCTAAACCGCAACTAATTTTTTTATTTCATTTGTCATTTTTGGATTCAGCGCCCCAAAATTAACAAAGAAGTGCACTTTTCCCACAAGATACAATTAAAAAACTAAAATTTGTTGTCCAGTCCCGAATATATTCAGTTCTTCCCACACCATCCATATTATGCCAAATTCCAAATTTCTCATAAACACAAATTAAAAATCCTGGTCACATAAACACTGTGTGTGTAGAATTTTTTTATATGCAAGCAAAATACTTGTTGTAGTAGGTATTCAGAAACGACGAGAATATATTTTCAAAACTGTAAACTCTCATAAAAGTTAATTACGCTCGAAAATTTTCAGAAGGCAGAAGAAATGGAGAAAACTGTTAGAAAGCTGTGAAACTGTTTTGTTTGTTCCTCTAATTTTGTCTGAATCGGTGCAGCCGTTCTCGAGACTAGAAGAGCTTCTAGAGGCGAACATTAATTTGTCTGTTTTTAATACATAATTTCTAAGTTTCAGTAAAAGATTGAGATAAAAAATATGGACGTAGTTTATTTCATTTCACAAATATTCAAGATACAAACTAGTCAGTTACATATCGGCCACCCTGTACAAACCGACGGAAATAAGCGATATGGATTTAAGGGTAGTAGATATTGCAAAGTATAAAAACTTATTTGAAATTCTAAGATTTTAGCGGTTACAATACTTCCTCCCTTTATACGCGGGGAAGTAATGGACAGAAAAAGCCTATACTTTGACGATTTTGTACCGAAGCAACCGCGTAGGCGGATGCATAAATACCGGGGCACAGCAGCTGGTATAAGGAGCTTAAAGACACTTTATTAATCGGATTTTTGAACTATCTAAGGATAGTGTAACTGAGAAACGCTTCCTTAGGCGGATTGTTTCACAGACTTAGCATCCTGGGTCAACAAAGTGGTGGTACCAGCCAGTTTTGGATGTACCAAGTTCGACACAGCTAGGATGGGGGGCTGAAGTCAGGCAGGGTTGTGATGGAGAAGACGTCTGGTGACAAAGCCCGTTGATATAGCGGTAGAAGAGAGCTACGGCTTGTCGGTGCAAAAGGGCCCCGAGCCTGACCTTTAGAAAAGAGTCATTGATCACAGCCCTTCTCGATCAGCATCGAGCATGGATAATGCAACCGAGGTGGCAGCATCTCAAACATGTGAGCAGTACCCAGGCTTACGTCTTATCTGGGCCTTGTATACAGTGAGGAGGTTATGAGGAGAACAGTACTTATTAGCCTTAAGCAAATAGCCTAGCTTTTTCCCAGCAGCTGCCGCTATTGATGAGATATGTTCGTGCCAGATCAAGTTCTCGGTGACCTGGACTCTGACTAGCCGAAATGAACTCGGCCATTTTTCGAAACTGGAGGTGCGCTAGGGCGCTTCTTGTTAGTCAAGGTACAGTACTTTCTTTTGGAACCATCATACTGCACCAGATTGTTGCGTCCGCAAGCAGTGATCACCTCCAGGTCGCCCATCAGAGGGAAAGTCGCTGCAAGTCTTCTTTGTCTAGCTCTGAATTTCTGCATGTAGAGTCCCCTCATCAGCAAAGCTGTGAATGGGATTGGGTGGGGCCTCCCTACAAATTTTGATGTTAGAAAAAATTTGAATCCAATGCACACATTTTTTGCGAATGCTCTCAGCTTTATAAAAACAGAAGTTGTTTTCATGACTTGTGTGACATTTCATATCTGTGTACGAAATGCATGCTTTAAATTCCATTTTCTCTAACCTCAAAATGCGTATGTGACCAATCGTCGGTGTTATCTATCCTCTTAACATCATCTGTTTATTAAGTAGAATCATTGATACACAATTAAAACATAACAATAACTCTTCTACCATGATTTTTAGACAAACGTTCAATGTTTCTTCTTTTAAAAGACGTATAACGGCTATAGGTAAATAGAGTACGTTTGCAACATCGAGTTTACCCACTTGATATGCTTGACGAAACCTGGACCTTAACATTGTTATAATTTTAACATTGTAATGGTAATTATATCAGTTGTCAGTTGTTTACATAAAAGAAACCGCTCTCCGTCAAGGACATCAGATCTGAATGACTTAAGAATAGATTATTCAGATACAAATCAAACAT